CAGCTCTTATGAGCTGACTTGTGTTAAGCTAACCCTCCAAATGTACTTCCTTCCAGGTCAAGGCAGCAACGCAACTCTTTCAGTTCTACTGGAGTTCAACAGTGCACAGAGGCACTGAGGAGCCCAAAGTGAATTGCAGGGGTGGGTGAGATTAAATATAACCTTTACTAAGGGGGAGCATAGCAGAAACATACAGTATGCATAAGTCCCAGCATTGGAACCACTGCAGAGGAGTAGCTAAACCTCAATCACAGCTGGGTAACTGTACCATTCTAACTCCACTGCTACTAACCGCACCACTGAAGCCTGGTTTATACTCAACACGTTCGCTGGTTCTCGAGTGTGCGCAGTGAAAGTGATATTATCGCAGTGGTTCGCTTTGGTTGTGTATGACATGATGTCGGCTAGCAGAGCGCACAACATTTTTTTTTAAACAAGAGCGAATACTTTGTGCGGTGCCACATTTCATTTGAGTTGAATAAGAAAGACTTTGAAGAGATTTTGTCTATAACAGGTATGACTGTACACACATCTTTATGATTCGCCCATGTATGATAATAGGGATAACCAGATGACCAATAATTCTTGGCTAGAAATTGCAGGCCTATATAATTCTAGGCTTAATTGGTGATAATGGTCAGAAATGTTGGACCATTATGGCCTTTTTAGCATATAAGTAGAGGATAGAAACTAACCAGAGAGTAATGCATCATATGTGGAGCAGACCAGTGTCTTTTTTTGTTGCCTTTATTCTTGCCATAATAAAAAAATATATATATTTGTAGAGTAACCCATGTTCTCTTGTCATTAATATTTTAATAAACTTTAATCTGTGAAACTGTCTGAGAAAAAAAATCTTGAATGGTTTAAAAAATCTTTATAATCTTTAAAATAATTTATACAAATAATTAGTTTAAAAATCTTCCATAATATTAATGATATGACGTAGTTCCAGAAATTTCCTACTGTTTATCTGTCTAATTTCATGATGGGTTTCTTTTGACCGCCCCCTGTCATTTTAAAAGCATATCTGCATGGAATGCGTCAAAGTATGAAAACATTGTTCGTTTCATGAGGTGCGCGCACAGTCAGCAGAGGTCCACGATGCGGCGCCAGGCGAAAGTATAAATCAGGCTTAAGAATGGGACTCAAACTGGCATTTCCAACATGAAGAAGCAGAGTTGTACAAAGAAGGGGAAAAGATCATGCACAGGGCCCAGAGGATTGGATGGACTATTCGCTTGTTAAGTGGTGACGTATGTAAACTGTTTCCGGGTCCATTCATTTCAGTTGAGAAATCATTCGTTTATGATCACGTTTTATTCCGATCACACATTAAAGTTAATTTTACATAAAGTCATAGTGTACACAACAATCTCTGGGCTTGTTGAATAACAAATACTAAAATTTTTACAATTTATAAAAAATGAATCACTTTCTGGCCATTGGATAATAGGCATGGACATATATACTGCAATCGTGATTTTCGAAAGTATTAAATCGCTTTGTAAACGTTTATTATTACCATGTCATGAATCTCCCCATTCAGTTGAATAGAGCGCTTGGACCCGGAAGCCGCTTCGCGTGACGTCACACTTAACAAGCGGATAGTGAACTGTGGTGGCCTGAAACGTAACGGCAAAATACGAAACGACTGTATTACCAAAAAGATCATGTTTCTAAGGTAATGACTTGATTAAAAATGGTGACAGACATTCATAGCTTATTTAAATATCTCAATAAAAGCTTTAAATGTAAATATGACAAGACAAAATGATGCCTTATTTGAGAAACATCAATTTATACTTCTGCATCAAACAGCCTGATCTCGTGAGGAAAAGTAACTATTTTTAATGGCTAATTAGTATGAGTTCAGCCCATATACTGTAAAATATATGGACGTAGTATCCGTGACGTCACCCATAGGTTTCTGAAGAGCGCAAAAGAAGCCACAAGTAGGCGCGGCCAACCGTCGCCATTTTGGTCACGCGTCATCACACCCACGGCGGGATACCAAACAAGGGCAAAGAGGCGGAGAGTGAGCGGAGCTACAGACACCTGCTAGCATTTAGCTTGGACCTGGTTCAGACACACTTTACTTTGGGAGAAATGCTTAATACTTTATCACCTGTGACTCGTTTGTATTCTGACCACTTGTGCTTGGTTGTACATTCTATCAATAAAGTGTTTAGACTTTTAAAAACACTGCTGTAATACATTGAGCCACTAAACATTGTTCTTATGACGTTTTTCAACAGGAGGAAAACGCGAATTACATCCAAACACTTCAGATATAGTCTGTGTTAGTAAATGTAAGACTATTGATGAAATCCAGCATAACAACACTGTATGACAACGCTTCAGATGACTGTTCTAGAGCCTACAGCTAATCAATCTGACAGATTCTGGAGTGCATTACAGCTCTAAATATAAATATAAACGATAAATGATCTTAAATAAAACAAATACATGTACAGAGATGGTATATAAGTATATAACTTTACTCACATGGGAAACGGAGGCCACGTGAATGGTTTGTGAGCACAATTAAGTTCACTCAGCATTCCATGCCATCTAATAATTGTGGGAAACAAGTCCAAAAGGCAGTTGACTGTGTAAAGCCACATAAAACAACACAGAAATACGATAAATATGCCGAGTTCAGTGGCTAATCTGCAGGATTCAGCTGAGGTGACGTGACGGCGACCAGCGAGACCTAACTGTCACTCAAGTGGCCACTCCCTTAATTATGCAAACTTAATATAACTTAATATAAAGGAAACGGATGAGTTATAAAAAAATTCACCCCCCTCACAGTTGTCATGAAGGGTAATATTAGCTGTATTAACCAAAATCTTTTTTGTACCAGGCTGTAAACACCTTTTTTTCTGCTGTAAAGTTGGCCATTCTAACAGTGGGCTCTAGGGGTGTAACGATACACCAAAGGCACGGTTCGGTTCGGTTCACGGTTTTGGAGCTACGGTTCGGTTCGGTACGGTTCGGTTACTGTTTGCTGTGGGGTTTGGGATGATGTCATGTTAACAGCAATGGGACAATTCACTCAATAACAAGAACATCTTAACTTTTTCTTAATTAACTTTTTCATTACATTTTTAGTACAGTCAGGATACCCGAGTAAACAACTAGAATTAAATAAATACCTCCAATATAGACTAGTCAGAAAAAAAACTATTCTCTTTAGTGCAGCCATCTTAACTAAGTAAACTAAAATTAAATAAATAACTGCAGTGTAGACTAGTGAAAGATCTTCTTCAAACACACCATAATATCCACATTCTCCGATGAGAGGCTTGATCATTGTGCAGACACAGACGCTCATTTTTGATTATCTATGGTTTCAGTTAGATAGATAGGTTTCCGTTTAAATTAATGAAAAATATACATATAATGTGTTTGTAAAGTGTTTTTACATGACATATTCACCAGTAAAATACATTGCAGTTGTGTCTGAAACTAATGTTAGGGTTGTAGCCGGCTGTATGTTTGCCTCCCGATCTCTCTCTCTCTCTCCCGCTCCCTCTATGCCGGTCATTTATGTAGGTCCGCCTTCATGACAGCTGATGCCTGTCATTTCTGTAGGCCCGCCTTTTTGACAGCTGATTGGTCAGGAGACCGATCTATCATCATTTGGCGATGCAGCGCGGGAATGTGAAAAGCATGTCAGGAAGAGCGGGAGAGAGAGCGCTTTTTCCTTTGATCTCGTTTTTAGTGTATTTTTCTGACATGATTATGATTTTCGTTGTTTTTGCTTAACTTTCGTTTGGGCAAAATAATTTTGCATTACTTTTGCCCACTTTAAGTAATTTTGTGAGGTTTGTACATTTTTATTTCAATTGATTTGTATATTATTTTTTGCCTCCGCTCCTTGCCGACAATATAGCTGTATCTCCTCAAGTTCATCTTGAAGTTCATCTTGTAAGGTGGATAGGGAAAATGTCATACGATTTCCATTTTGCAAACACATAGAAAATGTATAGTTAAAGACATCGGGTAAGAGGTGAAGGTCATCTTTGTTTATTTTATTCAGTATAGGAAAGAATGCGGCGCTCGGCGCTGAAGACCTTTTTTTTTTTCTTTTCATTAGTTTTTAGCGAGGTAAGAGGGGTTATTCATGAGTTAGAATTGTTTTATTATATTTATTTATTTTGTTTGTCTTCACTATCACCCCCTTACTCGAGTTTAACTAATTTTTGTTTGATACTTTTGTTTTAATTTGTTACTTTATTATATTATTTTTATTTGTGTAAATATTTCTCTTTTTTTGTATATTTGGGCATTATTCTGGTTTCACTTTTGTACATTAAATCACTTTTGTTTGCAGTTCTGTTGCTTACACCCTCACATTGTGAAATTACCACACTTTTTAAATGTTTTTCCTAACAAGTAAGTTTCGTGAAACAGTTTAGACAGACAGGCGTGTGCTTTGTCTACGACACAAATTATATTCCTGTACTCAACTGGAAAACCAAAATGTTTCCAAACAGATGACTCAAATGTGTCTGGGGGATCTGCAATCTCAGTACTATGTAAAGCAGCCATCCTGCGTCCAGTAGTAACGAGTGTGATGCTTACTTAAGTCACATGAAATGACATGCATAAAATACTAACTTTAGAATATAATATTTAGAACAAATCCTCATCATTACTAAAATAATTTAATCAAATATTATAATAAAGATGTGTTTAAATTGGTTCAATTAGTTAGAGACAAGTGACGTCAACCTCAACAATGGGCAGCAGGGGGCGTGAGAGTACCGCGGTACACCACGAGAGTTTCGCGATGCGTATCGTGGTGGGTGTATCGCGATATTTTGGTTCGATTTTAATATCGTTACACCCCTAGTGGGCTCAATTGAAATTTGCTCTGTTTTGGAGTCAGGAGCGGCCAGGACTAGCGAAATTTCGGATGAATTGCAGTTTTAGTTACTTCCGTATTGGCTTCCTGAGGGAGAGCGGGAGGTTGCCGCTTGGTTCAGCCGTATAAAAATGCACAATTTTAAAAAGGAGGCAAGGCACCCAACCCTGCCCCCTAAACCCAAAGCGTACTAAATTGTATGAATGAGATAGTACAAATTCATACGAATTAGCCACTAAATAAAAAAAGTTACAAATTGTCATGAGATAGTATTGAAGTCAAGAGATCCCATTTCGCCATGGCACACCCCCTGCAAGTATCAGAAGTCATTAAAAGCATTATTACTCTAACTTCTGCCTGTCTTGCTCTGCAATAACATTTTAGATATGCTAGGAGGAAGTGAGGTTTCTATTATCCACTGTGTAAAGTTTCCATGCCAGTGTTTTGAGTTCGTGAGGCGGGACTGAAAGAAGTACAACTTTGATCATAAATAAACACAAATCAAAAGTATGTAAGATTAAACACAAACTACACTGGGGGGAGGGGGCACATAGCATACGGACCTCCTTCACAGGATTTTAGACTCTTTAAAATCTAAATTAGTTACATTTTTCAAGAGCTGCACATTAGAGTCTGCATCAGGGTACAGTGAAGCCTTCGAACATATGCATATCCCACATTGCACTCGATGCAGAATTATAAATTGGCCCTCGTTCTCAGCTAGGTCACAGCACCAATGTAACCCCTTCACTTCAACTTGCCTTGCTCTGAGCAGGATTTAAACTATCATTGGCGTGAAAGGCAGAGATGGTTAAATTAATGTTAAAGACCACAGCCTCTAGCATCAGTTGACAGTGCATCCCCTGAGGCTGAGAGTGTGAGGTTGACCTAATAGCTGCCCTCCCAGAATTACTTTGCCAAAGAGCGAGTATTGATCTGTCATAATGAAACTGAACAAATCCATCTGTTTTTCAAGTTTGCAAAACAATCAGACATGATTTATCAGTTGTATATTCCATATTTATAGTATACCCTCAGGTATTTCTGCGCATATGGTGTGGTAATTAAAGTTAAGTAACAAAAAACATTCATCAGCAACTTGTTTTGACTCAAAGGTTCAGGTTTGAAAGTCTTACATTAATCTGCCGCTTAAAATATGGATTTTCATGTGCAACTATGCGAGTAACAATGATTTAAGTGCACTGAAATGAAAAAGGACCTCAAATGGTTGATAAATGAGCTAGCGGTTTGAGTTCAGTTTGTTGCAGATGCATTTGGCACATGCATTTCCCAGCACTTCAATTGCACTAAGAGCATACTGACGTTCAAAAAAGCTAGCAAAGAGACAAATACTGCAGAAATAACAAGGTGAGGGATCATTCGTTTGGAAGGATGTAGTAAGGTTAAATGTCTTCCTGGCCACATCGACATTAAAAAAGGGGATAAGGATGTCTAGTTAATGAATTGAAGGCAAATTAAGTTTTGTTTAAATTGCATACTTTAACATAACTTAAAGATAAAAAATATACATAAATATGCAGTGGGATTCAAAAGATTGAGGCAAATATGTGATAAAAATGATAAAATACTCGAGAAATAAATGAGATATAAGTACTCTCAAACTTTGAATCCCACTTTGTATTTAAAAAAACAAAACAAACAAACAAACATCAAATACATCATGTATAATGCCCTTTTAGAAGAGTTGATGAGCATAATTATCACACTTTGCTTAGCCAAGTTTGATTCTGGAGTCCTGGCCATAGTAGCCCACCTGGAGCAGGATAGCAATGTCAATTAAAATCTGCACCGCACCACAAACCAGGAACTGGGCAGGGCTTTCATTGATCACAAAATATGTGGTCTTAAAGACGTCACCGGCGGTCCATAAAAGCACCATCTTTACGCTGAAAAAGAAGGAGACAGACAGAAAATGAGAGCGTTTACTGAAGCATTCAGAAATGTATGCTGTATTTTAAAAGTCTCAGCAGATCAGCTATAAAGTTCTGATGAATGAACCTCATTCCAAACCTTTTAAAAGGCGTCGCCAATGCATCAGACTAATGTTTCGTACAAAGACCTGTCCACCTTCTTGATAAAGTCGTTTATCTGTATATCTCACATTTACAAGTCACTGACGTCTTACGCGATTGAGTGAAGTGGAGTGCAGATTTCAGCTAAATAGAATCTAGGGGACTGGGGTTATTGCAATAATAATAAAACTATAAACACCATAAAGTATTTTGGTAATTGAAATTAATATGTATATAGAGTATTTCAAGTTTTGTCAATTGAAATAAAATAAATCATAAGTACATAAGTATATAACTAGTAAGCTTGCTTTTGTTTCAGCTAGTTGCAGAGGCAGGGTTATAATAATGAACTGAAAATAAATCCATTAATACATACATAAAAAATTAACTACATAAGAAGAAAGAGTATAAATTATAACTAATAATAAAAGTTACAATAGTATCTCAGTGACACAAAGCCAACCCTGTAAAAGACACAAAATAATTTATATAAAATCATGACAGGTGAAACTTGACAATAAAAACAGGACAAAAATAAATAAATAATTAAATAAATAAAATGCAGGGTTCCACACAATTCATGTTGTCCCAACACAAATTGATTAAGTTAACTTAATAAATTTAAGTGGATTAACATAAAACAATTAAGTTGTCCCTAAAATAATCTCAAGAATCGTGCTGTTCAGGCGCGTGCACACATAGGGCTCAATCTGTGCAGTGCACATGCCCTTTTTAGTCTTGAATAGAAAGTGTCCTTCCAAAATGATCTGAAGTGCCCCCGCGACAAACCTTCAACCCCCTTTTTAGTTTGCAACAACCCCCCCTTCGCTCTTCAGTTGCAACAACCCACCCCAAATCCCCGCTCTTCAGTACGCGACAACTAAAATAAAATTCCTATTTCTTACTGTAATACGTTCCCATCTCCAGAAGTGATAACCCAAAAATTAAAAACTGCTTTTATTCTAGCCAAAATAAAAGACTTTCTTCAGTCCCAAACCCCAAATCAAAGGGGGTTTAATAATTCTGATTTCAACTGTATATAAATATTTTCAGAACTTGTAATGTATTTATTCTTTGAAACTTCAAATTTTAATTTATGCAATTGCAGTGTCTTGATTTTAGCAAGGTTACACAGTCATGGCCATAAATGCATTAGTACTAATAATTGGCATAATTTTTTTGGTGTTTAGGTTTTCGGCCAAGAATTTTTATTTCGGTGCATCCTTAAAAAATTCTTTTTTTTTTTTTTTTTTTTTTTTTTTAAATAATTTGTCTAACTATAGTAATATATAGGCTCTTAAATGGTATAAATAGATCAATTTATTCATTTTATGCCGCAGTATTTACACTGAAATGTCCATATGCCCGTTTGAGGTAATGACACAGGACGAACAGTGCATCCTTGGACATAACCTGCTCTTTTATTAGTCCTAGAAAGGACTGAATCACCTGCGGGATGCTTGGAGGAACCACCAAAGTACAGTATTTTGCAAATGTCAAAACCTACTTTTCCTTTCTGAAAAGCAGAGAAAAGTTAGGCTTTGAAAACTTCCAGGAGGCAGCCAAAATGTTCCTGAGCAATAGGAGAGATGCTGCGTTCTCAGCGGTATTTATGCTGAACGAGTTCATTCATTTCATTCAGGTGTATGGATGGAAAGGTGGTGTAAAGAGAGAGATGAGCAGTGGACTTTTTACACTCCTGGTGGTCGTCCTGACAAGAGAAATTAGTCTTTTAAACACCACAGGGCAGCGGAAGCAGACAACTCTACAATAATGCAATGGGTTGCTTGTCTTTTTGATGTTGCAAAGCCACCCGTCTTGACATGACATTGACTAGTGCATTATGTTCTTCCTTATTACTGTTTGTGCATTGCTGTGGTGATTGTAAATGAAGATGCTGGAACATTTGTTGGCAGGAGGAGCTGTGTTTGTTAGCAGAAGCGTGAAATATCATTTATCTGGCGCTCAGATCCATTACGGTGCTACAAGGGTTTGTTATGGACACTGCCCTGCTAAATCACAAAGATTAGACTCATACAAGTCCTAAACACCAGAAAAGACTGTTAGTTCCTGCACCAAGAAAATTTAAATTTATTGCAAGACACTTTAAAAAAAATGTGCATTTAAAAGGACATTTATTAGATGATATTTAATAACTCATCTCTAAAAACTGATTTATTTTATCTTTGCCATGATGACAGTGAATAATATTTTACTAGATATTTTTCAAGACACTTCTATACAGCTTAAAGTGACATTTAAAGGCTTAACTAGGTTAATTAGGCAGGTTAGGGTAATTAGGAAAGTTATTATATAATTATTGTTTGTTCTGTAGACTATTGAAAAAAATATATAGCTTAAAGAGGCAAATAATTTTGTCTTTAAAATAGTGTTTGAAAAATTAAAAACTGCTTTTATTCTAGCCAAAATAAAAGAAATAAGACTTTCTCCAAAAGAAAAAAAATATTATCAGACATACTGTGAAAATGTCCATGCTCTGTTAAACATAATTTGGGAAATATTTACAAAAAAAAAAAAAAAAAAAAAAAAAAAAAATCACAAGGGGTTTATTAGTTTTGATTTTAAAAAAAAATACATAAATAAAAAAAAAATTATATATATATATATATATATATATATATATATATATATATATATATATATATATATATATATATATATTAGGGGTGTAACGATATTAAAACCGAACCGAAATATCGCGATACACCAACCACGATACGTATCGCGAAACTCTCGTGGCGTACCGCAGTACTCTCACGCCCCCTGCTGCCCATTGTTGAGGTTGACGTCACTTGTCTCTAACTAATTGAACCAATTTAAACACATCTTTAATATCATATTTGATTAAATTGTTTTAGTAATGATGAGAATTTGTTCTAAATATCATATTCTAAAGTTAGTATTTTAGTGCATGTTATGTCATGTGACTTGAGTAAGCATCACACTCGTTACTACTGGACGCAGGATGGCTGCTTCACATAGTACTGAGATTGCAGATCCCCAGACACATTTAAGTCATCTGTGTGGAAACATTTTGGTTTTCCAGTTGAGTACAGGAATAGAATTCGAGTCGTAGACAAAGCGCCTGCCTGTCTGTCTCAACTGTTTCACGAAACTTACTTGTAAGGAAAAACATTTAAAAAGTGTGGTAATTTCACAATGTGAGGGTGTAAGCAACAGAACTGCCAACAAAAGTGATTTAATGTACAAAAGTAAAACCAGAATAATGCCCAAATATACAAAAAAAGAGAAATATTTACACTAATAAAAATAATATAATAAAGTAACAAAGTAACGAGCAAGGGGGTGATAGTGAAGAGAAACAAAAGAAATAAATATAATAAAACAATTCTAACTCATGAATAACCCCTCTTACCTCACTAAAACTGATGAAAAGAAAAAAAGATCTTCAGCGCCGTGCGCCGCATTCTTCCCTATACTGAATAAAATAAACAAAGATGACCTTCACCTCTTACCTGATGTCTTTAACAATACAGTTTCTACGTGTTTGCAAAATGGAAATCGTATGACATTTTCCCTATCCACCTTACACTAAGACTGAACTTGAGGAGATACAGCTATATTGTCGGTGCTAAAAAATAATATACAAATCAATTAAAATAAAAAAGTACAAATCTCACAAAATTTCTTAAAGTGGGAAAAAGTAATGCAAAATAATTTTACCCAAACGAAAGTTAAGCAAAAACAACGAAAATCATAATCATGTCAGAAAAATACACGAAAAACGAGATCAAAGGAAAAAGCGCTCTCTCTCCCGCTCTTCCTGACAAGCTTTTTACATTCCCGCGCTGTGTCGCCAAATGATGATAGATCGGTCTCCTGACCAATCAGCTGTCAAAAAGGCGGACCTACAGAAATGACAGGCATCAGCTGTCGTGAAGGCGGACCTACATAAATGACCGGCATAGAGGGAGCGGGAGAGAGAGAGATCAGGAGGCAAACATACAGCCGGCTACAACCCTAACATTAGTTTCAGACACAACTGCAATGTATTTTACTGGTGAATATGTCATGTAAAAACACTTTACAAACACATTATATGTATATTTTTCATTAATTTGAACGGAAACCTATCTATCTAAATGAAACCATATAATCAAAAATGAGCGTCTGTGTCAGCACAGAGATCAAGCCTCTCATCAGAGAATGTGGATATTATGGTGTTTTTGAAGAAGATCTTTCACTAGTCTACACTGCAGTTATTTATTTAATTTTAGTTTACTTAGTTGAGATGGCTGCACTAAAGAGAATAGTTTTTTTCTGACTAGTCTATATTGGAGGTATTTATTTAATTCTAGTTGTTTACTTGGGTATCCTGACTGTACTAAAAATGCGATGACAAAGTTAATAAAGAAAAAGGTAAGATGTTCTTGTTATTAAGTGAATTGTCCCTTAGCATTGCTGTTAACATGACATCAACCCTAACCCCACAGCAAACAGAAACCGAACCGAACCGTGGCTCCAAAACCATGAACCGAACCGAACCGTGCCTTTTGTGTATCGTTACACCCCTAATATATATATATATATATATATATATATATATATATATATATATATATATATATATATATATATATATATATATATATATATATGCTTGAAAATAGACAGCGAGCAAGCTAAAGGGGCGATTGTCGCTTGGGAAGGGAGACATTAATATGCATTTGCATTTAATTTATGCATCACACAGCATTACAGTATTTATGAAATGAATATTATGTTATCATAAATTGTTAAAAAGATTATCTTTTGCTGAATAAATGCTTTGGAATGGGGATATTTAGACATCAGTTGTGAATGATGTGGTGCAACTCTCTGCCAGAGAGAAC